TTGTTTTTTAAACAGCTTGGCGTGCGTCCCCACGTCTCATCTTTATTAGCGACAAATTATGACACAATATTTAACAATTTAGTTCTTACGAAACCTATTCAAACTGTATTGCATTGCCAGGAGCCGCTCAGTTCAGCATTTACTTATTCTCATGTTGCTATTCGATACATTGTCTGGCCAATGTTGTTCAGAGAGTAGCTGTTTTTAATGTTTCTCATGGTGACGTCGTCTCCTAATTCTTTAAATATATTTTGTATTAACTCCTCCTCGGATGAACTTTAATCTGCGAATACAAGAACTATTATTTCTTGAAAAAAACGGAATGTTGTTCAGACTTTACCTTTTTAATGCTAATTGAAGGTGCCGGGGTTTCTTCAACAGGTCCATCAATTCATACTCATTTGGTTTTTGTATTACGTTCTACAGGTTTAGTTTTACAGGCTTTTATCAATATAAATGGAATTAACAGCATTCATTTTGAGATTTGTTTGTTGAATAATGAAAGTACCGTTTAGAGTAATAGGGGAGTCATCAGCCTTAATTTCTCCAGCCTAAATTTCCAGAGTAGGTATATTGTCATTATTGGTTACCGTGCATGATGATGGCTTTCTTGCTATTAGTTGTGGAATACAGTATGAGTTCGTAATATTCACTATGTCATTAATGCTTCAGATATTTAAGTTATTGAAACTAGAACAAAATTGTTTAATACCAAACATTTGGTGGTTACAAATAAGAATACTACCAAAATCTAGTTTATAAACATATTTATCAAATTTTACAGGTTTTATTATTTTTCTTCTAAGTATTAATAAAATCTTCTCGCGAAAATATATCAACGAGAAATTAGATAGAATAGAATTTATTAGAAATATAATAAATGAAATCAATGATACTGAAGAATTAATACAATCAAAACAACGAATTGCACTACTTTGTAAAGAAGTTGAACCAATTTTAAAAACATTGAAAACTAAAAATGTAGATACTAAAGAAAGTTTACTAAATATAGCACAGTTTGATATTTCAGTTGTAGGCAAAAACCTACAGGTATTTAAGGGTACATACAAATATTTATACGACTTAGTGATAGAAGAAGGAAGAGACCTATTCATTAAATATGTTTAAAATTGTAAACTTACGAGCCAAGTAAGAAACACATTAGGTAGGTCAAATAAACCAACGACATATGTAGAACTAAAGAAAATTCTAATTGAATCATATCCATACCCTAGAACTTTACAGCAAATCTTAACAGAATTAGGAACGACAAATCAAGGGAATGCGACAATAAGTGAATTAAGAGAACAAATATCAGAGCTTGCAGAACAATTAAGCGCTTTTAAAATAAATAGCTTAACAAGGTCGTCACAAGAAACGAAAGATGCTATTTATACGATTAGCGACAATATGGTGGTAAATGTATTCGTAAATGGAGTGAATCCAGAGTATCAAACTACACTGCTATCCAATCCACCAACCAATATAAACGAGGCAGTTATAAGATGCCTGAGTGCAGAAAAGAGTTTTGGAAACGATAACAAAAACGTATATACTATAAAGAAGAGAAATTACAATGATAGATACAGAAGCAGTGAAGATACTGATAACAGATACAACGATGAACGTAAAAACTATAATAATTACAACAATTAGTCAATAACTATTATAATAATAGGAATTACAGAAACAATAATAACAACATTTTCAAACATTTGTTTATGAGGAGCAGGGAAACTACCACGGCCAAATGTAAAGGTCAAATGTAATGATATTTAGTATAACTATTAATTCTGGTGCATTTATTATATTGAAGTGCAAAACAGTTAATAAACATGTCATTCTTAATAGATACAAGTGCAGACGTATCAATATGCAAAGACATAAGTCTAAATTACATAAATACTAATGAAATTGCAAAATTGAGTGGAATAACAGACGATTCAGTTCATTGTTTGGGAACTTCACGTCTAGGTTTATGTGTTGAAATTCAAGACATATCACACAAGTTCCATATCGTAGAAAAAAATTCCCAATTCAAACTGATGGCACAATAGCACGTGATATATTAACAAAATTTTAATGTAAAATTGACTCTGAAACGTACACTATCAACTTCTTACTAAGCAGCAGCCAAATTACGTTTCCATTACATACAAACGATAAACGTTCGGAGGAGATTAAGATACCGACATGTACAGAACTAATATATCCGGTTCACCTAAGCATCGATGAAGACAGCATAATATTGAACAAATAGGTCTCAAGTAGTGTGTTCATGTTCACACAAGTTCCATATCGTAGAAAAAATTTCCAATTCACGGCACAATAGCACGTGATATATTAACAAAATTTTAATGTAAAGTTGACTCTGAAACGTACACTATCAACTTCTTACTAAGCAGCAGCCAAATTACGTTTCCCTTACATACAAACGATAAACGTTGGGAGGAGATTAAGATACTGACATGTACAGAACTAATAAATCCGGTTCACCTAAACATCGATGAAGACAGCATAATACTGAACAAATAGGTCTCAAATAGTGTGTTCATAGGAATTTGCATGATACCAGGAAACGGTATAAAACATATTAAATTATTAAATACAAGAAACAACTCGGTAGTACTGAAAGAATTTGATTTTGAGCTACATAACCTAAATAATTATCACATTATTATCACTATAAAGTTGCTAACAATTATTCACAAGTATACAATCGAGTTTCAACGCTGCTAACAAACTTGGGCATTGGTACACTTGATCCAGAAGCAAAAGATTCCACTACATCTATTATAGAAGACTTCCACGATATATTTCACTTACCGGAAGATAAACTAACGGTCAACAACTTTTACTCACAGCATATAATAGTTACTGATAATACACCAGTATGCATTAAAAACTATAGATTACCGGAAGCACAAATGAATGAAGTGATAGAGTTGTATAAAGATGACATAATTGAGAATTTCGTCCCTGTAGTGTTTGTAGTAGACTTTCGAAAATTAAACAGTAGGATAATAAACGACAAATTCCCACTAACCAGACTAGAAGACGTTCTAGACAGACTGGGCAGAGCGAAATATTTCTCCACGCTAGATATGACAAGCTCGTTTCATCAAATAGATCTTGACAATGAATCTCACTTATAGCGTTTTCCACACGAAATGGTCGCTATCAGTTTAAGAGACTACCGTTTGGCCTAAAAATTCCATCAAACTGTTTCCAACGCATGTTAACAATAGCGTTAAGCGGTTTGGATGCTGCCTTCCTATATGTTGACGATATAATAGTATTCGGATGTACCCTGAAACACCACAACGACAACTTGATAAGGTATTTAATCGCTTAAAGCGATACAATTTAAAATTAAATGCAGCTTCTTCAGACCAGAAATGATTTATCTTGGTCAATTAATCACAGACAAAGGCATAAAAACTGATCCACAGAAGGACGATGTAATCAGAAAATATCTTATCCCGAAAAATGGTGATGAAACCCGTTTCATACCGAGATTCGAGGACATTGCAAACTGTCTTAATGCTCTACCTAAAACCTTCGTATGGAACGAAGAATTTCAAAAAGCTTTTGAAACACTAAAAGAAAAACTATTGGGACCACCAATCTTACAATATCCGGACTTTAAGAGGCCATTTATATTAACAACAGATGCCTCAAATTATGCCCTTGGTGCTGTCCTCTCACAAGGAAATATTGGTTCCGATTTGCCTATAACATACGCTACAACAACGCTACAAAAACATGATCTGAACAAAGATCAATAATATCCTTATTTGGGATTGCACTTCTATTAGTGATATAAAGTGCATGAAAAAAAAAACTGAAATTTATATTAAAGAAGAATACTGAAGAAATTCACATAGAAATATCAGATGATAGCGTTATAGTAAAATGCAGTGATGATCCATCGAAGATAAAGTTGACTTTAGAGAAGTTGATACCAAAAGTGCATAATTCGAGATCGGACGAGTTAGCACTAAATAAAAATATTCAGAAATATAGTCGTCGAAGAGTTTAAGAGATTAATGAGTCTATTCCAGCAGTTTTCTATCAGAAAATACCGATCCCGTTACAAATGTGAATACCGAATTTTAAACGATTCCCCTCACAAAATACAGATCTCTTTACAAAATGTACATACCGAATTTTAAACGATTCCCCTGAAAAACGTCATGGGTGGTACAGTTATTTGGGAGCTATAAAAAAAACTATGTAGACAATGTCCACTGTAGGTAGAGCCGTTCAAACAGAACCCAGCTCCATCGCACTCAGCACGCGCCACCCCAGAATGGCTTTTAAATGAGGTTCCTCGCTTCAATTTCAGCGCACAATGGCCACCAAAATCTCCAGATACCAATCCGTTGGACTATTGTATCTAGAGTATTTTGGAAAGCAAGGTTGGCACTAAAAAATCACCTTAAGCAAGCGCTTCGCCGCGAATGGGTCAAAATATCGCAGTGCAACATTCGGCCAGATTGAAACGGTTTCATGGTCGTTTCAAGACCATAATTCGTGTCAAAGGTGCCCAATTGTTGCAGTTTTAAGAAATGTGGTTGATTACATTGCAATGTAAACTTTCAAGACTCCGATACAAGTGTCTTCCACTTTTTACTTTTTTTATAATTTTATCGACAGAAGGTCTGGATGTACCACACCTTCTTGTAACTCTTCGGCATAAATGGTGAAAGGAGCATCCCAGTATTTATACACCCAAATATATTCCTGCTAAGAACACCTTTAGTTAAGGACAGTACACTTTTCATTTATTTCGCAAAGACCGAAAATAGGCTCAATGACACTGGCAGACGGTGTGCAAGATCTCTCGCGTTTGTCATAAGCATGGTTGGACGAACGGAATCCTTAAAATTTTCTGCACACATGTTTATTGTGGAGGAAAATTATAAGTGCTATATAAAATTTGTTAATAAAATACATCGTGCTGGTCTACTTAATTTTTTTATTGGAATTATACTTACTTGAAGAAAATTGATATCAGTGAAACGCAAACGACCAGTAGGTCCAGTAAATTAAAAGCAGATCTACAAAAGGCTCCGTCGTGGAGAACAAATCCATATGAAATCAATTTTAACACCAGTTCTATTGTGAAGACAGCCGTAAAGAAGTAATCAAATTTGTTCAGCACCTGAAATACAAAGTTAGTTTGAAAAAGTTTCATAATGGTGACAAAGTAATTTAACTATAGATTACGGTTTCCTCGATTTATTATTATATTTTTTTTTTTTTTTTTTTTTTTTTTTTTTGGAGAAAAGAAAAAATAATAAATCGTACCAGAAGATATTGCCCTTACGATTTTTACGGTTTGAGAGCAAATTATGAGTTCACTTTAACCCTTAATATTCAAATCTCGAAAAATTGAAATTGTGAGAAACATACAAACAAACACAAATTCAAAGTAGGTTACGTCTGTCTGTGTGTTTAATCATCCTACCTTCGGAACGACTTGAGATAGAAAGCAAACATTTTGCACACAGTATTTTGCCAGTAAGCTGGTTAAGTTCGTAAATGGGTCGTATTGGTCCACGTTTTCGTATACCCCCCATATTATTAATGATTTTAGGGACATTACTCACCAAAATTGTTTCAAATTTAGTAATGGGTACTAAAACCTATGGCAACAAATCAGGTGCAGGTCCACGTTCTTCGTACAGCCCCAATATAAGGATAGCCCCATATAACTTATTTTGAAGATTTTAGGAATATTGTTCATCGGAATTGTTTCAAATTTCGTATTAGAAATTCGGAATTGGTGCCACAAACTATAACATAAAGTTGTCTATATAGGTCCACGTCTTATAGCCCACACATATCTGTACCTCCCTTTATTCGTTATGTAACGATATTATTCACAGGAACTATTTAAAATGGAATTGTTTCAAATTTCGTATTTGAAGTTCGCAATCCGTCCTACAGCCTATGACAAACAATTTTGTTTGTTCTATTTAATTTTTATGATTGAGGTAAAACTCTTGCAGGAAAACAAATTTTAGAAAACTATACACTAAATTATAAAGAAAATAAGAACTACTGCAATTGTTGGGACTCACATAATTCTACAAAATAAAAAGAGTTTTTCATTTATTGGTTTTAAATTCGTCTAATAATAGGTCTTTATAGTTAGATAAACATTGTGTTCCTCTCTTATATAATTTTAGAAAAACATTTGTTGTGAATTACCGTTGTGTGGGTAAAAATTGTGTGCTATACGAAGAGGAATTAAACATAAATGGAGGGGTTTCTCAAAATAAATTACAGCAATTTGTTCAGCAAGTGTATGAAAAGTGTTTACGATAGAAACATGAGAATCTACAATAACAGGAAAACACACCAAAGCACGGGTTTTGTCAACAAAACCCTACAAATATCGACAGACATGCGTACTACGCATAACTGATAACAAAAGGCAACGCAACGCCCATTTTTTATATATATCCCTGAAAGTAGTTCATGAAATTAAATCTTCTTAAAAAAATCAGTATAACATTGAGGAATGCTAAGGTGGTGAATATTATCCGAGGAAGTATACCTGAGACGTTGTTTCTAGCACTGCTCATTGAATCAAATCAGAAGTAATTCTTTCGACATGCGTTCCGATATAATTTTAAATCCGGGTCGACGAACTTAAATTTGTAACTTTGGTGAGAGTTTAAAAAAGAATCCGAGGTTCTGATAAATTTGACCAATGGTGTGAATGGCATAATGAGTAATTACAATTAGAAAAGCAAAAAACACTTCAACTGCAAAAAAATTCAAATAGTCGAAATTATGATTGAAAACAGCGAAAAATAATTCCAGCAAGTGTATTTTCAAAATTTTCATAGGACCGTCCGTAGGGTGTTCGTTCAGAGACAAAATTCAAAGGAATACCACACAGCTGATTTTTAAAAGCATTAACATATGAAAACAATCTAGAAACCTAAATTTCTAACGTTCAGATATAAACCAATGTAGGGTACGCAAGAAACTAAACTCAAATTCAATGAAAAACTTTACGCTTTATATGAACAAATAAACAGTATTTGTAGATGTGTAGCGGGTTGTAGGGTACGGGTTTTAGGGTGTCCAAAAGTTCGTTGACAGCAAACGGCTAATTAAATTTATAAAAACGCCAACTTTTGGTTTTCAGAAATTTATTAAAAAATAAATTATTATTTTCAATGCAGTTAAGTCATGGAGGCTGCAAGTATGAATAGCAATAACAGCAACACTACTAGATTAATTGTTGTAAGTGAATGATCAAAACAAATGTAAAGAAACTACAACACAAATCAATGCCAGTTTGTTATTTGAAATGATAATAATGTTGTTTATAGAGAAGTATGCATGTCCGAATTCAAATTTAAAAAAAAAATAAATCGTTTAAACTAAGTGGAGAGGGTTTTAATGCACTGGCGTTAAGAAAAAAAAAAAAAAAAAAAAGAACACACAAAGACCACAATAAAATGTATATTGCCGATTATGTCGAGATTAGGTTGGTGAATGGACGATCAGCCCATATGTATTTTTTACAATTATTTTCCGAAAATGCACTCCCGATTTTGGTTTGTGCCACGCGAACTAAGGCTCCAAGGAGAGTTATAGGCAACTTTTTAGCCCAAAAACACATCTCTCTACGGCCCGTGCTTTGCGAACGTGGGCTCTCTGGATTCTTTGGAAATGTACAATTCTAATTTAAGCAGTAGACTTTTTTTCATAAGAACATTAGATCACAACACAAATTTAAAACGAAAAATTATAACATTCATAGAAAATACAATGTGCCAAATTTTTAGTTTGTGCTACAAACCATGACATAAAGTTGTCTATTAGGACCACGTCTTAAAGCCCACACATAACTGTACCACCCTTTATTCGTTATGTAACGATATTATTCACAGGGACTGTTTGAAATGAAATTGTTTCAAATTTCGTATTTGAAGTTCGCAATCCGTCCTACAGCCTATGACAAAAAATTTTGTTTGTTCTATTTAATTTTTATGATTGAAATAAAACTCTTGCAGGAAAACAAATTTTTGAAAACTATACACTAAATTATAAAGAAAATAAGAACTATCGCAATTGTTGGGACTCACATAATTCTACAAAAAAAAGAGTATTTCATTTATTGGTTTTAAATTCGTCTAATAGTAGGTCTTTATAGTTAGATAAACATTGTGTTCCTCTCTTATATAATTTTAGAAAAACATTTGTTGTGAATTACCGTTGTGTGGTTAAAAATTGTGTGCTATACGAAGAGCAATTAAACATAATGCTTCGGAGGGGTTTCTCAAAATAAATTACAGCAATTTGTTCAGCAAGTATATGAAAAGTGTTTACGATAGAAAAATGAGAATCTACAATAACAGGAAAACACACCAAAGCACGGGTTTTGTCAACAAAACCCTACAAATATCGACAGACATGCGTACTACGCATAACTGATAACAAAAAGCAACGCAACGCCCATTTTTTATATATATCCCTGAAAGTAGTTCATGAAATTAAATCTTCTTAAAAAAATCAGTATAACATTGAGGAATGCTAAGGTGGTGAATATTATCCGAGGAAGTATACCTGAGACGTTGTTTCTAGCACTGCTCATTGAATCAACATCAGAAGTAATTCTTTCGACATGCGTTCCGATATAATTTTAAATCCGGGTCGACGAACTTAAATGTGTAACTTTGGTGAGAGTTTAAAAAAGAATCCGAGTTTCTGATAAATTTGACCAATGGTGTGAATGGCATAATGAGTAATTACAATTAGAAAAGCAAAAAACACTTCAACTGCAAAAAAATTCAAATAGTCGAAATTATGATTGAAAACAGCGAATAATAATTCCAGCAAGAGTATTTTCAAAATTTTCATAGGACCGTCCGTAGGGTGTTCGTTCAGAGACAAAATTCAAAGGAATACCACACAGCTGATTTTTAAAAGCATTGACATATGAAAACAATCTTGAAACCTAAATTTCTAACGTTCAGATATAAACCAATGTAGGGTACGCAAGAAAATAAACTCAAATTCAATGAAAAACTTTACGCTTTATATGAACAAATAAACAGTATTTGTAGATGTGTAGCGGGTTGTAGGGTACGGGTTTTAGGGTGTCCAAAAGCTCGTTGACAGCAAACGGCTAATAAAATTTATAAAAACGCCAACTTTTGGTTTTCAAAAATTTATTAAAAAATAAATTATTATTTTCAATGCAGTTAAGTCATGGAGGCTGCAAGTATGAATAGCAATAACAGCAACACTACTAGATTAATTGTTGTAAGTGAATGATCAAAACAAATGTAAAGAAACTACAACACAAATCAATGCCAGTTTGTTATTTGAAATGATAATAATGTTGTTTATAGAGAAGTATGTATGTCCGAATTCAAATTAAAAAAAAAAAATAAATAAATAAATCGTTTAAACTAGGTGGAGAAGGTTTTAATGCACTGGCGTTAAGAAAAAAAAAAAAGAACACACAAAGACCACAATAAAATGTATATTGCCCATATGTATTTTTTACAATTATTTTCCGAAAATGCACTCCCGATTTTGGTTTGGTCCACGCGAACTAAGGCTCCAAGGAGAGTTATAGGCAACTTTTTAGCCCAAAAACACATCTCTCTACGGCCGTGCTATGCGAACGTGGGCTCTCTGGATTCTTTGGAAATATACAATTCTAACTTAAGCAGTAGACTTTTTTTCATACGAACATTAGATCACAACACAAATTTAAAACGAAAAATGATAACATTCATAGAAAATACAGTGTGCCAAATTTTTAGACTTCCAAATTAGTTTCTTTTGCACTTGCGCTTTTTCATGTTGTTGTCGACTCACAACAATAAAATTGCACTGCATCTACCTTATGTTTATAAAGGAGTATTAAATGATTGGGTAATGATGATGTTGATGAAAATAATGCTTATGACTTTGATTGTAATGATTACTTCTCCCACATAGAACGCAACAACCGAAAATACATCAGTATCAATGGAATGTATTGTTATAATGATTCAGGAATAGACCATATGCCTCGATGTTGACCCGAGAGGGTGCATCCGGCTCGAAGGAAACGTGCGAATTGAAGATGTAGGAAATAGAAATAAAACACGATGGTCATAGTTGCTTAATGAATTTAATAGATGA